ATCTCATATCATATATATATAAATATATATTCAGTTGTGCTTCAGCACCAAACACTGAAGCATAATGATTCAGTGTGTAAAGCATTCTTATCAGGAGAGTAATCCTTTTATGTATTAAAAAATATATATACACCATATATCAAAATTGTGACAATGAAAAAGTATTCCTGAACTTCTAGTTAAAGTCACTGTAAGATTAGAAAAAAGAAGGGCATCCATCCAACTTTAGTGATCTAACTTAAGCAAGCCTGTAGTCAAAGGAAGGACACTGGCTCCTTCAAGGGATGATTTGGAGCATCTTAATTGAGATTCTGTTCTGAACTGCCTGATGGAGAAGTCTCTCCCCACCTCCCAATCCTCAATTACCGACAGAGAGAGGGCCCTAGGGGAAACAACTGAGGCTTATCCCTTTAATGTGCTAAGTGTTCTTTTAAGGTTAGCAGTTGACTTTTGCAGAAACAATGCCGGTAGTTAAAGTTCAGGTATCAGTAATTTTTTTCAGGTGAAGTCTGGTCTGCAGTTACACCGGAATCAAATACAAATACTTTTTCTCCCCCACCCCGCAACTTCCCATATAAAATCAAGTGAGATCACCTTCTTGAAAAGCCTGCTTATCATTCAAACCTAAAGAAATCTGGGAAAGTGTCAACAAATCTTCCACTAAAAATTCAGCAATCTTAATTCTTTCAAATTCAGCATTGCACAAATCCTGCTACTGAAACTGGAGGCAAAGTTCCTTACTTTATATGCATACGCAGATTTCAGTATATAGTCTATGTGAGCTGATTAATGTTTACAGAATTTATATATTCTGCAAAAAGAAAATGCTTTTTTATTAGCACTGAGTTAAAGATTTCAACATGTACTTACAATAAAAGACTAATCCCTTTTGTTACCAAGTAATTATTTTAGCCATATTTAGACTAAAAATACTGTAATTTATAGTATAAGCTTTCATGATCCTAAATAGGATATCTCGCCTACTACTGATGAAACAAAATGACTTTAAATCTTCTTTAGACAGGTTGTGGTTAATGGCAAGGAGTGACCAACAAAAGTAGAGAAGTAGACGACAAGAATTCCATCCTCCTGTCCTGCGAGGATAGGCCTTACAGAGGATGTACTAGTCAACCTTGGCAGAACAGAGGAAGGGACATTTGTTTTATTTAAGAACAGTACAAAACATACAGTATCAAAACATTTATAGCAAATATAAGTAAACAACCAGACTACTGAGCAAAAGAATTGTATAAATTATTTTGATTGCAAGCAAATGCAAAAGCACTTCTGACAGTATAAAGACAAATTATAAAAGTATTGCTCTTTTTAATCCAACCAAATAGTTAGATGTGAAAAGACGGACACTTTTCAGATAATGCTTTTGAAAACTGGAAATTGATGAGGGAGAGGAAAAAAACAAACACACACAGATGTCAGTTTATGTTTTTTGAATTGTACTTACCCTTTCCCTCTAATTTTAGTGCTATTGTCAGTTCCAGCAGTACTGAGAAAAGAGAATACTGTTCAAACAGAGATCGCTGTAACTGAAGCAGATTTTCAAATACATCTAACACCTTTAAGAAATTTAGATTATAAAAACTTTGAGCAGTGTATTAAGGCAGTTCTCATTAGCATGCTTCCCCAGTTTCAATTTTCATGATTTTAGCTGATGATGCTTTCTAACCAATAAAGTTAATATCTTAGTTGTTTGAAAGGTGATTTGCAACATTTCAGATGTTATTATGCATTGTTTTCTGTCTTTTGATATATTAATCACAACTGTAGCCCCTTCTGTTGCAAATGTTTGATTTTAAAATTGTCACACTTGTCAGCCAGTCCAATAGGCTATTTCAGAACCAATACGGTTTATGCATGGGAAGTTTGATGTTTAAACAATATTTATTTACATTCCCAGAGTGAGATGGTTTAATATATTCATGCTGCTATAACAGACATGCTACAAAGCCTAATCGTATTTTGTGTATATACTATGTGTACAGAAAATCTTGCTTGTATTAAAATAAAAGAGAAATGAGGTTCTAAGTATCAATTTATAAAACAGTTTTTTGTAAAATGTTACAGTGTTCCCTATTTAATGAATTGGTAAACTTCCACAGAAACTACCTTTTCCAAAATTCATTATAATAGTTCCCATCTATTTTATTTGTTTGCATTTCATAAAGTAGCTTACTTCCCCTCCCAGAGAAACTCTGTTCCTACACTTGCTGCACGACAAAAGCAACTCACATGGGGAAAGATAGAACAGACAGCAGTATGAGTGAACATACTTATCATTCATGCATGGACCTGCTGTAAATACAAAAGCAAATGGAGACTTAAAAATGATACTACCCTTCCCCCAACCATGACTTTCTTTCTGCAACCTGTGGCTCTTTCCCAGCAGAACAGCTGGCAGATTTTATTGCTGCCATAGCAACCCTGCCGTCACCCCGTTGGCTTGGCAACATTGCAGCAGTAAGAAATACACTTCACGTCTGAACTGTTCTTAGACTCACAGAGGTATTTTTCCAGGTTGCATTCCTAAATGCTTATTTACTGTTCGATTTACTAAATTTTGCAATAAAAAATCCTATACAGTCCTTATTTGCCAGTGAAATCAGATCATCTTCCCTGGAATCTTGCAAAGAATTGATATCCATTCCTTGCAACGTCACAGCAGATGGATCAAATCTCTGCAGCAGCTTCAACTGATCAAGTGACAGTCCAGCTCCTCTCATGCCTTCTCCTCCAATGTGAGGTTCCTTTTTAAGTAACAAAGAAAAGCAAATTATTGCATCAATAAAGTTCTTAAATGCCCTAAATGTATTCCGCTGAGTATATGCAGAGCTGCCTGTTAACGTGGACAATCTAGGTTTATATCATTCATACCAGGGGAGAATTTAGAAGTAATGTGGCCCATCTTTCCTTGCCTTCATCTGGCCAATAGGTATACAAGCATATATGCAGGGTCTAAAGTACTTTGAGGAGGCGGTGGTGCACCTAATCCACTTAGCCCAGTAGTTTAGGGCACTTACTGAGGACAGAGACACAGGTCTAAATCAATTCATTACTCAGAGGACTGAAACGTCACAAGAAAGCTGTTATCACCAGACAGTAAGAAGGTCTAAAGGTTTTAGGTTGCCACTTTTAAATGATGCAGTGCTTCTGTGTACTGACTAATAGCTATAAGTTAAGTCAAAACCAGTGATTCCTTAGCCAGTTACTAATATACTCAGTAACAGTAGTAGAAATACCTGGATTCTTCATGTTAAAAACTTCAGCTGGAGAGACTGAAAGCCCCAATCCAGAACACTTTACTGCCTGAAGAGGCATCATTTTGGTGGATGATGCAGCAGAAAAATCTGAGCTTCAGATTTTCTATGTATGTCATGTAGTTAGTTAGACTAAAGCAGGTAAATGGGAGTAGTGTTACACGTGTATGTATAAGAGGAAGAGAAAGAAAGGAAGGAACAGCTTAGGTATTTGAACTCAGGAGATGACATTTGGCATCAAAATCCTGGAGAGAAGCGCTTAAAATCACACCCCTTTTCTCAGCATTTCTTGTGAGTAGCCTTGACTGCTTTCTATTTAATACACTGATTCCTGGAAAAAATCTAATTCTTAGCTGGATTGTTCTTCAATGCATTCAGTAAGGAGATAGAACAAAATGTGTAAAAGCTGGCTTTGCAGCATCAAAACCAGATCTCCTTTGTAAATCTAGTCTAGTGTAGTCTATAATGCAGCCTACACCAGAGTATTTTTTTGAGCCATCACACTTTGCTAACACATGAGCTCACCCAGTCAGTACATGATGCGAGTCGCTTAACCATGTACTATGTGCTGTAAAGCTGGGCGGCCAAGAGGTTGCAGCCTGATTCTTCTCTTCCTTTCCCCCAGCAGGATTCAGTGCTTTCCAGGTAAAAGACAAAAAAAGGTGTCCATTGCAAACTGCGGGAAAAAAAAACATGCAAAGGGAGACAGGGGTAGTGACTTAAGTATGTAATAGAAGGATGGAAAGGACAAAGTCTAGTGAAAACAGTATTACACAGGGTCAAGTGACTGGCTCAAAGACAGACCAGTTTTTTCCTCTACCTTTTCCTTTCTCCTTCCAGTTAAGTTACTGTATTTAAGCTGATATACAGTATCTCCTGTATAAACCCCTAAGAGGAAGTAAGTCTGCACAGACAAAGGAGCAGCTGCCCTGCAGTAACCTCCACCTATGAGATCAACACCTATAGCTCCATCTCCTGTTTTTTCCTTACCCAACATGATTCCAGGATCTGTTGCCAAACTAAGAAAGTGGGAGACAGTGGACTGGGTACATAAGGAGGTGGCCATGGAAAGACTAAAGAATATGGGAACTACATAAAGGAACGTGAGGTAAGTTGACCCTAGACTCCCAATTTCCTGTTCATTGGAAAAGATCATCTTAGTTTACATTACTGGGAAACTGGTTGTAAGATACTATAAACTGTGGGTAAACAATTCAGTGTCATCTCATTTAAAATATACTATACACAAAAGCTTAATTTTTACAGATCTGGCATTTGTGTGTGAAAACTAGTGCCTTAGTCCAGACTGATGTTACTGGTGAGAGAAAGTCTATTAAACCAGAATTAACCTTGCATTTGAGTTAATAGGGCTTGTGTTTTGCTTTGTCATTCTATCGAGGACAATTTTTATGCTGTTAGGTAAAATGTATAATCTCAGTTGAAACAGCTGGAAGTGAAAAATTCCTAGTAAATGGATGGTGAGAAAGCAGGCAGAAGAACCCTGACAGACATATCTTTTAAGAAAAGCTTTGGTTCTGTTAAATCTTTACCAGCTTTCATGCAATTTCTCATTGTACACCTATTGTATATATTTTTAAATTTCAGTTAAAAGATGCATCTAAGCTTCTTAAGACAGCTACAAATCATCACAGAATGTGTAAGCAAGCTAAATAGGTATCAGAGTTAGACTTTTCCTCAAAGCCATGACGATAAACAACAAACCCACCCAACACATCACATCAGGAAAGAGGAAGAAAGATGCATACAGACTGATGATAAACTCTCTCAAGGTACTAATAAAGGTAACAGATATTTTTTAAATGTATGCAGTACAGATAAAAAATTCTAGTATCTCCCTATATATTACCTCCTTCCAGACATCTTAATGGTAGACACTGACTCCAAAAAAGACAAGGTACATTCTGGGGACACTGAGCCTGAAATAAATTTGTTCCCTCATTCCTTCACATAACACAAAAATAGCTCCCATACATATAAAATCCTCCTTCCTCAAAACATAAGGTTCTTTCCATTTATCTCCCATCCTTTATGCAAGACTTCACTACTTCAGTGGCATCAATAAAAAAATTTTTCACCTCTCCTGTGAATGTGCAAAAAAAGAGAATAACATATATGCATTAAAGAACAATTGCAAGAGAAATTTTAACCTGTCTAAACTACCTTTTGTCCCTGTTGTGTTTTAAATGACTGTTGTACAGATCAAAACAACCACAGTACACAGTGGGAAACCACTTAATGATCCCTAAATGAAGCTCAATTAAACACGAAATAGATTTAAAAGAGCCTCAGAAATCCTTGTGTTATTTCTATCCACAGCAGTTAAAATGGCCTGCAATGAGAAAGAGATTTATTGATAGTAAATATAGTGTGTAACTTTACAGTGCCAAAACAAGCTCACTGGATTGTGTGAAGTACCCTGAAAATACTATTACCTGTGGCTGAAGCTGGAGGCATGGAAAAGTTTTCAGGGCCCAAGCAACTTGCTCCTCATTTTCAGAGAGTGTAATTGTACATGTACTATATACTAAAACACCTCCTGGCTTCAGTAATTTCACTGCCTGCAAGGAGAAATAAACAATAGTTCAACTTATTTTTAAATGCAAAAAATTTAATATTAAGCAACATTCATTAACCAAGAAACCATTAAGCTATAATATTAAAACTTATCACTTAATAAACTCAAATCTTTCTGTCTAAGATAGGCATTAGGATACTAATTCTTCTCAGGGAATACAGTAAAGGATCCCATGGATTAGAAAGATTCTTCTTTCCAAATCAGCATTATAGCTCAGGAAGCTTATTAATGCCATTCAGATAATTCACCTTGTAAGATTTGTTATTTATACAGCTCTGCATATCTCAGACAGGTTAGTTCTGTTTTCATCACCTGCTGTCAACCATGGATACACAGTATTTTTATCAGTGATATTAGATGTCAACTGTTTCCACATACTTTGCATGGAAGCTGTATCTATGCTGCTTTTTGAGCTGTGGTTCACTTTGAATACATGTAATTCAGATTTAGACAAGTTTCATGAAATCTTATCTTTCAGCATCCACCGGAGCACACTCCTACTAGCATGAAAAGTTGTAATATGGCCTCCTGGCTTTGTACTCTATCTCGTAACACATATAGTACCTCACAGCACCACTGCATGGGAGCTCTATGCAGTGAACTTACAAGAGTCTGTGCTGCTGCACATGAAAGACTTTAACCTGCTCCATGACTTAGACCTTTGCAATTATTATAAATAAAAACTGAAGGAATAAAAAAACACAAAGAGTTTTATTTACTATAACTTACATACACCTTTCCCATGCTCCAATGAATTGACTTCACCTAGCAACAGATATGGTGGAGCTGAGAGGTTAACTGAATCCTAATAATATCTTCTTTACTTAACTGCTGAAAATGTAGAGAAAATGAGGCACCATTTTTCAGTATAAAGTTTTATGCTGCGACAGTATTTACCTTCAATTTAGCTTATCTACTCAATGATTAATACATACCACAGTGAAAAGCTTGCGCTGTAGTGGCTGATAAGAGGTCACTTCCTTTAAAGTCGAGGAATAAGCCATGTTTGGTCTCTGTCCCATCCCACTACATGGAGCATCAAGAAGAATTCGATCAAATGACTCTGGTAAGAATGGAGGTCCTTCTGTAACAAGCAGTTAGTAAGGTAAAATGTGGCTGTTTCTTTCTTTGAGACTTCACCATGGATAAGGACAAGCTGTTACTGCTTCCCTGACATAAAACATTTATGTTCTACAGATAGTATCTGCAAAAGTAACCTCAGCTACAGGCAAGTGTCAGCACTGCTGGTGGCAGATTTCATCTCCCAGAAAACCAAGATTTTTAGTTCTGTGAGCTCAAACAGTACATAATCCCTTTAGGCAATAATATTTTTAACCTTAATTTAATAATTTGAAAGTAAAATGTAAAAGTAATCAAACAAAAATGTTGAAATATGATTGATCAGAGGTGTGGGTACAGAATTGTACATATAGGCTGTAATGAACCACAGTCAGCTCATAACTGAACCAAGTGTGCAAGTCTACTGACAGAAGCCTAAAGTTAACCATTAAGGCTGCCTTGAATAATAATAATAATTGGACTGTCTCTATAATAACTATTTCTTGCAATGCATATATATCTGTAGAAAATAAAGCACTTCATAATAACATGAAATAATACAAGTTCTAATGCAGGACACATGCTGTCTCCACAGCAGAACAATTCAGTAAACAAGGATTGTGAAGACAAGAACAATTTCTGAATATTACCTGGATAGATAAGGGAATATATAAGTTCTATATGCAGAGCCTGTCCTTTCATCTGAATCCCACTGGCTCATGAGCCCAAAAGTTTCTGTCGCGTTAGTGCTAGAGAGACTCTTCAGCTCAGCATCACCAAGACAAAAGTGGCTCCATACATGTATGTGTGAGTAACCAATGTGGAAGAGCGCCATATATATGGTTTACCTGCATTTCTCCTGTTCCTCAAACATTCAAGTTAGGTCACAAGTGAAAACAAGTGAGTGACTTCATACTACTGCTACCTAGCTTGTTCCAGCACTACAAAATGAGTCTATCTGATTTATCTATCTCTGATCCATTACTACAACATTCAAAATATGTCATGGCTTACTTGCAGAGATGTCCAGAAAAGCCTTCATGATCTCTCAGTATTACAGCTAGCTCTTGTTCATCTGTGTAAATGCTACATACCACCTACAATATTTTATGTTCATAGAAAGACTATTAAGAAAGTACCTTTATTCCTCCAAAGCATGAATAACTGCAAGGCACAGGGACAAGGAAGGTAAATATGCAACCTGACTCCTACTTAGGCTAACCAGTGACTGGGATAAAATAGAGTGAGAAAGAACAGCATACTTTGCACAACAAACTAAAAATAATCAAGACAGCAGATACCGTTTAAATCGTTCCATCATGGGAACAGAACCAGTATCATAAATACAGCACTTCAGAAAAGCAAATGAAATTAACTTAAAATAATACACTGTGCTTCTATAGAACTTTCCCCTGAACAGCTGAACAAACATCAATGAACTAAACCTTGCAGCACTCCTGGGAGTTAGGTATTAATAACCCCATTTTACAGATGAGGATTCTGAGGCAGAAAAGCCAAGGAATTCTGCAAAAATAATTTTTTTCTCAGACTAAGTCAAACAATTCAGAGTATGGGGTTAAATGTTATCACAAAAGAAGCTTTAAGGCTTCTTCAGTCTTTGATATTATCTGGGAAAGGAATGCATTTCCTTTGAGCATATTAGGTTGTGATAAGGGCAGATACTGTTTTGTATTTGCTTCATGGAGAAGCTGATAATCACAAAAGAGTAGAAAATAAAAGAGCATTCACAGTGCTGAAGCAACTTAGGTATCTATCTGCCATGATTTCAAGGACTTGTAGACCTGTGGCAGGTTTAATACTGTTAGTGCAAAACTGATTACTGTTTTCTTCTAAAAGCTACTACTACCCAAGTTTTTTACTTTACCTTGTTCATCCTCTCTCTTCTCAACTGAAAGTGCCTTTGTTCCATCATAGCAAAAGGCCTTAATGCAATTCAGCTGTAGCAATTCAGCATTCTGCTTAATTTTTTTGACTTTGTTAGCTATCTTGTCCATGGCTATTACTTCACCCTGAAAAAAATCCAAAGTTTTTATCAAAAGCATAGAGATTAAATGGATGTGCAGTTCCTGATTTCCTCCCCACCACCACCGCCGAGCAGTGTAATGAATGAAGGTTAG